ATATATGTTTTTTTATATAGTAATGATACAACCACACAATAGTTTCTCCCAGGATCCCTGCTTCAGTACAGACTATACATACTTTGGTGACACATCAGGAAATGTGATATGATGCCATCACCTGATGCTGCCTCATTTCTGCAGAAACCAAAAGATAAGTTGGTTTCAAACTGAAGCTGAAATGCTGCTCTAAAAAAGTAAACAGACTTGTGCTTGTATTCTTGCTTTTGCCAAACAGTCATTACATGATACTTCATGAAGTTACCTAAGCCACGTTTGCATGAGTAGTTACTACCTGGAATTCTTATTTTCCGGGTGCCAAACTCAATACATCCTAGTCCAATCAACTGGAGTTGCAAATCAAGAGATTGTCAGAGACGCATCTAAAATGGCAACTGTGTTTTAAACATATGAAGTATTACACAATATCACCTACTTTGAAAAAAAAAAATTGTTTCTAGGTTCTCAGTTTAAGCACCTGCATTTTGTACCTCTAAAGTGAGAATAATCCATCCTCACTTTACAGAGACAACAGGCAAATAAGTTTATTCCTGTTCAGAAAATTCCCAGTTATACAAGGGAGGAAGGAGCATTACAGAAAACCAAAAGAAAAGAAATAACTAGACTTTTAAGTGTTGGAAAGTAAGCATTGTACCATAACAAGAAAACAGAAACACTGCTTGTGTGTGAGCTACCCTTTTCCTGAGCATGGAGTGAAGAGGGGACTTGTCAAAGGAAAAAAAACCAAACCAAATGACACACAGTCATGAAATTAGAGATCAGAATGCACAAAAATGAGGCCAAATTAAAACCCATCAGAAAGGGGAGCTTTAGCATTTCTTAAGAGCTTTCACTCAGAAGTATATTAGGACTTGAGGCAGTGGGATAGGAAGCATTAAAAAAGCATGTTTAAACAGCAAATTCCAATAAATTAGCAGCTCGTTCTGTCACAATGGAAGATCAGAATAGACTATTAGCTTGTACCTAGTGTCTCCCTCAACAACAGCTAATCACACATACCTTGCTTCATAAACAATCATCCCATCTAAAAGGTAAGAGCAGGTGCATTCCAATACAAAATAGTCAGGTAAAACTTGCCTTTTGAAAATATTGGTTTATAATTTGCCTAAGAGCAAGTCTCCTGAGTCAAAAACAGATTCACTTTGAGAAATGAACTCTGCATTGGTATTTTTTTAAACATTCCCAGGCAAACTGAATCAGTAATACAACTTGAACTGCCTCTTGAGAGCTCCATGCGGCAGAGCTGAGTTTTAACATTACGAAGCCCTTACTGAGGAAATACCTCACCCTTGCCAAGTTCTCATTTTGTGACAATTGCAAATAACTTGCTGAAAGTGAAGATGACAAAAAAAATGGGGGAGGGGAGAATATATGACTAGATTCTTTGTTTTATTCATAGGCACTGAGCTAAACAAACAGGATATATTCATATCACTTCACCTGTAACATTACCCCTGAGCTTACAACAGAACATGCACCTACTAATTTGGTTACACAGAGTTTAAAGTACTGCACAGTACAATACAAAGCAGCAACCCAAAGAAGCAGAAATGTTTTGTCACACTCACTGAAGTAACACAAGACATTCTAAGCTTCTACCTACTAGTGTTTTAAAGTCTATTGGTAGTTTGCATTAGCAATAAAGACACCCAAGTACATCACCTAAACAAAAACAAATCTGCATACATCAAATGTACATCATCATTCATTTCCAGAGTTTAACAGAGGCTGACAAGTTTAACTGTATATCATTAAAACCTTCACATCTAGGTACAAAACAGCTTCTATTGCTTATAATAGCAATTCTAAGTCCATAGTGAACCTCAATTCTAAAGTCAGTTACCTGAAAATAGAAGTCTAGTATAGCAACCATATCCGTGCCTTCAGGAAAGCACTGAGGAAGGAAAATGAAAGAGTCTTTAGGTAAAAATATTATACATTTTAAAATATCACTTTCAGAAAGACAAATTCAGCTATATTTTTGTCAGCACTAGGCATCATTAAAATAAATAGTTACATGTAACAAGTAGACATGTTAAATCAGGTTTAAAAATAACACAGCAGTGGCTGACAGTGAGGTAGGTATTAGGCTAGGTATTAAAATATTTTTCAGTACAGTACAACATCTCTTTACCCACAAACTGAAAAATGCATCTGGGATTTTTATAAAGTCATCTGTACAGCACAAATTATACATTTTATGACAAAAATTATCACGGCTATGATACAGAAAAAAGTTTAGAGGTGTTCTATTAGAATGGCTAAATATAAGTTTCTAAATGACAGCATTTTGATTAACAGTGTAAAACATACATTAATTTGTTCTATAATGTACATCAAATAAATTAAATATCTTCACAGACTATGAAGAAACCCCACCACACAGTCTTCAAAATACACAAAAAAAAGCTCAACCTTTTTTTCTTTCAAATAATAGCCAATTGCAAAGTTTCTATCTCCACTCTCCCTTTCAGACTGGAACCTAAAAGTAAAAGAAAGAAAAGACAAGGCAACATGTCAAACTTTTCAAAAAACCTGCATGAACTTGAGTAATGTAATTCCATAAAACTTCATGTAAAGGACACATCACTTCCGAACAAAAACATTTTACTAAGGGGACAGAATTTGCCATAGCAGCTCATCCCAGTTCACCCACTTGAGTGAATTAGCCTTGACATTCAAATACACACACAATTACCTACACATACACAAACTGACCTGAAGGTAAAGCAATGAAGAGCAAGATCCTGCTCTTGGAAGCAATAAAACTTCATGTAAAGGACACATCACTTCCGAACAAAAACATTTTACTAAGGGGACAGAATTTGCCATAGCAGCTCATCCCAGTTCACCCACTTGAGTGAATTAGCCTTGACATTCAAATACACACACAATTACCTACACATACACAAACTGACCTGAAGGTAAAGCAATGAAGAGCAAGATCCTGCTCTTGGAAGCATTCCTAAATAGGCCACAGTGGAATGAAACATCCCACACCACGCTGCACTGAAAGGGTCATTCCCTGACAACACTGACTAAACCAGCAGGATCTGAGGATCTAGCAGCAGCTCAGATAACAACCAGCCTGATGGCTGCACTCTTGATCGGGATGATTATGGTAAGGATGAAACCTAACAGAGGAACATGTACACTATAAGGGTAAGTAATTCTCTCCTGTCTGGCTCCTTCCATGGTACACACCTTTTACAGTAACCAAGCTCAGGAAAAACAGTAGTTACCTCATTCTTCCACCTGGAAGCAACTCCACTACATGGAATCTTTATGATATTCCTCATGCTGCCTCAAAAAGCTCTCAAGATTTTTGGAATGCTATGCGTTGAGCTAATGAGGGAGACTGCTTCAGAAAATAATTTAAGTATGCAAAATAAATAATCAGAGTAAGTCCTGGTTGTATGAAGTATGCTTTCTGAACATTTGATATGCAACCATCAACATGCAGAGCTTAATTTTCCATGTAAATGCCAGGAAGAGAAGAGTTGCACTTACAGCTCTCACTGCCATAGCCCCAACAGAGCACTAGGACAGAATAATGACATTCACAGAGGTAACTAACACTTCTAGGTGAGGTTTAGCCACACTGATGTCAGGGACATACACAACCTGAGTTCTTGTAAATTTTAAGCCAAATACACCCTCCAATATTAGGGAGGAAATGCTGGTTTCAATGTAAATAACTGAAGTTTGCCATAAGCTCAACAGACCAGTTATCAGCTGAAGCACTTCCCACCTAACTTCAATGAATAAGTAAAAACCACTTACGTAGCATTACTGAATCCAACATACTCATTACCAGCCATTTTATTCATGAACTGCATCACCTGTTAGAGACAAAGAGGGGGGGGAAAGCATGCTAACATTTTCACACATTAAAAAAAAGTTATCAATTTTCAACCCAGCCTTACCCTAAATCTTGTAAAACAATTTTAGAAATGCAATCGAAACCACTAAATGCTTAAATGACCAAGTACAGCTACAAAAGACAAAACATTACTACAATTCCACTTGCAATTCCCTTGCCACCTTGACATGTTTAACAATGAAATTAATTAAAAGGAATATATATTGTATAGTTATATAAAATAATTAGAACATTAACTTACATAGTCAAATTTTTCTGCATTATTTGCTCCTTGCTGCAAGAAAAGAAAAAATAATTTACAAAAATTGTTAAGAGAAGAAATAATTTAGTTCACTTAACAGTATTAGGGGTTTAATGCATATAACTAAGGTATGAGGCTAATTTAGAATAAGGTACTACAATCATTTCATACATTAATGAAAAAATTAAAGTGTTAGATAAGTCTTTAATTATCATTTAAATAATCCTATAAGAGTCTTATCAAACACCTGTTTGTTGGAAATTAATTTAAACTGAAAAAAGGTATGCTTTATTTTAAGTGCTCTCTATCCAAGTTTACATGCTTAGCATAAGTAAAAGCAGTAGCTAAAGCAAAAAAAGTACAAAAGTAATTACAATCAGGATAATTACAGTAAAAACACTAACTTTTTATAGATAGTAACCCAAAGGTATTCTCCTATTACCAACAGAGCTGAGCATACGGAGGGGTTCAGGCTACTGAATATTTCCATGGCTAGTGCCCATACTAAGAATTTAGATTAAAGACTTAAAATAAAGTGTTACCCCTTACTAAGAAAATAATTGCATTTAAAGAAAAAAAATCTGATTTGGTTAATATCTGATTAATGTTCTACCTATTAAAAATTATGTTAAACAGTTAAAAAAATAGAATTTCACATCACTGTGCTAACCATGTACAGGAAAATCTAAATTCAACTTAATAATGATGCTAGAGAAACTTAATTCTGAGGGTTGGGTTGGTTTTTCAGGGAGGATGAGGGGTGTTACTTTGGGGCTATTTCCCCCCCTGTTTAAAAGCATTCTCAAATTTTGTAGCTGCCAGTTAAAGATGCATACATTTTTTAGAGGTCTCTGATGGGTGACCTTTCACAAATTTCCCATAGCAAGAGATGGAAAGAGGAGTGGGAGGTAAAAATTAGCACACGGTCTAAGGGGAGTTCTTAATTGTTTTTAAGTAGCCAAGTAGAATTTTGAGGAAGTTTAAAAACCAATGGCATCACATACACAAAAGTGGAAACAAGGTATCTGGAGAAGATGCTCTAATACATAATTTTAGTGCTCAAGATACTCTCTTTAGAATAACAAAACTTTGCAAATCTCAAACAATTCAAGACACTACTTGCACGGTGCTTAGTGTGGAGATGGGGAAGGAAGTGGAAAAAATGGAAGCTTTGTATCAACCAGTATTTTACTTAATGAAATGCATAAAGCCAGTCTCATTTCCCACTCTGCATGTGTATTAGGGTGTTGCAGATAATCTTTGCAGCCCATGCATCAGCTCATCTACCAGAGGATGTGCAGTCACACACGTACATCACTAGTGGAAGGAACACCACGCTGCTTCGTCAAAATTAGGCGCCAGTGGTTACCTTATGCTTAAAGGCAAATAACCTTATTCTTAAAGGGAATAATCTCTAGCTAATCGGCAATAAAATTTAAAAAAAATTCATGATACATTTTATCAAAATGTTCCTGTATAATATACCAGAACACAAGTCTTAAAAATTTAACTCCAAATCTGTTCAATGAAAAATAATTAAAAGAAGAAATTACCAACTTCATTGAACTGTTGCAGTTGTCAAAATATTCCATAGATCCTAATGCTGTAAAATATGTAACAACATTTAAACCACAAAAACCTTTTCAACCTTTCAAATGCACAATGAACATCTTTTTTCTGGGAAAGTGGGTCAGCATTAGTTATGGGATGCTGCATTGATAATTGTATGGTTAGACATGTATAATAAATTGAAACAAGTTCTTTTGTTAAAAAAAAGAAAGAGGGAGAAAGGTATCATGCTTTCTGCAAAAATATAAATACATAATACTTCACTTCTTTGTTTTGCCCAGTAGAAAAAAATTCCGTTCAACAAAAACCTGGCTTTACCAGCAGCACATAAAATTGATGGGCAAAAGACTCAATGCAAACTTTCCATATCAACTTATTACAAAAAAGTTCACAACTAAACTTGTATGTTGCACTCAGATGATGCATTTTTAGTCCTTGATGTTCCACACACTTGTAATAGGTCTTGTCTATCAAACACAAAAGCATTATTACTGACATCAGACTGCTCATAGACCTAAACTATTTGCCTGAGTAAGCACACAATCAAGAACAACATGGATTTACAACAACATGTCACTGGAAGATCAAGAACTCGGTATGGATTTACAACAACATGTCACTGGAATAGAAAAGTCTGCTTCCATACACATGAGGACTAAAAAACCCAACATATTAGCTTCCCTCTTCCAGCAGCTGACAGACATGCTGCTCCTCCTAAAAAGCTGAAGAGACACAGTGGCAACACATCTATGATTAGAATTCCATTGCAAATATAAAATCCTAACATTCAGAATACTGAGCAGCTTTTCCTTCACAACCAATGTAAGAGACAAGAAAACTTCTGTTCTTCCCCAAGTGCTTCTTATTTTTAGCTTGACTTTGTAAAGCTATGAGGTTGGTGGCACTGTGGCAATATTCCTTAAACAGCATTTTTAAAGTTCAGATGCAATTCATCTGTCTAGAACATCAAAAAGAACATTCCATGCACTAACTCCACGAACACTTAGTACATTTATTGGAACATATGTTCATATACACACTCACTCATACATGCTTGTGTGTATATATGTATGAAAAAAACACTTCTAAATGAAAACGAAATTTAATTCAGAATGTCAAGACTGAAACAGTTGTATAGGCAGAAAATTCAAATGTGCAGAAGACAGCTCAGTACAATTTTGTAAACACTTTAAACCCCAATGGACACTATAGCTGTCAATCATAAATTTGAATTTTTTGACTGTGTCAGGTTTAAGTGATCTTCCCTTTTTTTTAATGCAAGTCTATTATTCGTATTTCTAGTAGAAAAATACAAGCAGTTGCAAAGGCTGCGTGACCACATAGGAAGGAGACCCATGGCCCAGAGCTTGCAACAACAAAATTAGGCAATATTAATTAGAAAAGTAGTTACTTTTCATAGGTCAACATACAGTTTATGTGATTAGACCACATACGCTCACACCATGTGTCTCTTGTTAATTGTTGAATTTTGAATCTAAACAAAGCTAATAACAACAACTGAATCATAAGAATGTTATCCCCTATTAATAAGTTATTTAAAAATTAATTTCTGCAATCTTTAAAACCAAATTTATAATCTAACACTATCCTGTGATGAAAATATCCATAAACAAAAAAATCATATTACTATGTTGATGTGCAAGAAAACTTTCTTTTGCATTTGGGCATTTTTCATTAAACTAGCTACTAATATCTTTATTTTAGCTCTCTCTACTTACGAATTTTCAGATTTTGTGTGTTAATCTGGACCTATGAGCACTGGTGTCTTGACTGTTTAGTGCACCATATTCAGCTCAAATTCCTGAGAGTACACTGCCATAGACAATGTTTGGCCCACTAAGACCAATACTATTTCTATTTCAAATGCATGTAAGATTTTTTCTGTTTAAGCACATATGTGACCAGTGAACACATGTCATTTCACAGAATCTCTACCACAGATTCTATGTCAAGGGACATCCAGTACATCTAAGCTCTAATAAAAAGCAAGTGCAGAATAACATGGACATATGTTCTAGCCAATATTAGTTACTACAAGAAAATTAATAACCCAGAAAGAGAGCATATGTCACCAGACTAAAGACAAGTATCAGGCAGAGAAGATCACAACACCAACACATATTTTCATGTGGTATGTATGCACATTCACACATCAGTCTACCAGGAAGGAGAACTGCAGTGACAGCCAGAGCAATTAAGCCAAATCACTACTACGTATTGTACCTATATTGTCAAATAAACCAAATCAACTAAGCATTTTCCTCCTGCTCAAGTATTAGACTGTAACTGCATAGGTTTCCTTAAACAGCTGAATCCTGACAGCAAACAGACCCTTGGCACAGATAGACAGCTTTTTTCTACCCCTCTGCCTCATTTATTTTATGACTTATCAGCATATTTACAGAGTTCTTAAGTATATCACATACACCTCTTAAATTCTGTCCAAAAATAAAAAGCTTTCACTGAATTAGGTTTTTTTCAGGGTCAGCAAGATCAGCATTTTCACTTTCTCATACACCACATTTTTTGCAAGGACTATGAATATTGCTATCCTGCCCCCAACACATCTTAATGCTTCCCAGGTTAATTCCAGAGCACAGAACCTTCCCTGAGCATTCAAGTTGAACACTGTCAGGTCCTGCACACAGCTGTCAGCACTTAGAGGATTTACAGATGCTGTATTTGCCCAAATGTTTGCTGCTAGATTAGCAAAAACTTTATCTACAGATGGAATGTTAAAGCATACAATAAAAATGACTTTAGATTAATCCCTTGTCCTCTGGTGATTCCTTCCACAGCCATCTGCCTTCTTCTATGTATTTCACTCTGAACCCTTCCTCTTCATCTCACCTGCCCCCCCTAATGTGACAGTCAGTAAAGGTAACATGGACTGACAACCACTGATACTCCTGGAGTTGACAAGCTTTGAGAACTGAGTTTAAGGTTTATGAAAAAACAACAAATCAAAGCAGTAAAATCCATTCATATTGCAGGCAATAAAGACTTTTCCCAGTCAATGTGATGGACAGAAAGCTGCACTGAATCTGTACTAATCAGCTGAATCATCTTCTGTCAGGCACCTGTATTTCCTGGGAGACATGGAAAAATGTACTGTTTTATCTAATATCACTTTTCCAAACACTCCTGTAATTTCCACTACAATTTTCTTCTGATAACAATTATTTGATAATGGTTATAACCATGTAATTATGCAACCAGTAATAAAGGCAAATGGCTGGACAATTATCAACAAGGGAAAAAGTCCTTAGGGGTTTTTTTTAAATTTTATTTCATTAAAAGTGACTCACAGGATGTTCTTATTTTTATTGCAGATATATATGCTTTAAACTGCTGGAACACTCTGTGGAGTGTAATGCAAGTACAGTTAAAACAGAGCCAAGAGTTAAGGCACCAAAATCTAATCACTTCATAGTCCCAAACATGTGACAGTAGGAGAATAATTTAAGCTGGCAGAAGTATGATATAGTCACACCTAAGTGACTGAAACAAATGTACAACTTAGCATGCACATACCCTTAATTATTTATTATTATGAATAGCAATATACCAAATAGTTTAGATCCATATACCAAATTCTTACAGCAGTCAGAACCAGGTATGTGATGCTAAAAGCCCTTTTCCCCCCCCCCCTATTCTGACAGAGAGATTACTCCAAGCATCATCTTTTATCCACAAGTAATCATAACCTGTGCCAGACTCTAAGGACAGCTGTGTGCAAGATCATGTATACTAACAGCTGCTAAATTCAGTACAACGTTGGTGAATTTTGAGACTTTTTGGATCAATTTCTCAGAAAGAGATAAAATAAGAAATCACAAAGCAAGTAAAATCATTCTTAACCATGAAATAGTTATCAACACACTATTATTAGATAAATGTGTCATACATGGTGAATTCAACTATGTTTACTCTCTTTAATTTTCCTGGACTCTAAGAGCCACACAGAGTCTTCAAGACATGTAACACCTTAAATAAAGAGAATGAATGCAGAGGAACTGAGGGCAAAACATGAGTTAATGAAACCACCTTTTTCAGAAAAAAGTAAGTTTGCTATTAGATCAAATATAAACGTCAATTAGTTAAACCACTGGTTAGCAGGAATACTGGTAAGTTGCAGATTGTAAAGTTTCTTCACAAAAAATACAGCTATTAAGTAATTTTGCACGTGACCCTCTATGTAATTTTCTTCAGAATATGTTTAGCTTGGTTAGTTATTCGTATGATAAATGGTATCTTAGTGAAAGCAGTACATAAAATCTACATTTTAATCACACTAAGAACAAATAATGGAGTGTGATAAGGAAGATATGTGTCCACTAGACGTGCAGTGACCACATGCAAAAACGTTAGTGCAATGCAATACTCTAAAGAACATTATAGAAAGAAAGAAAGAAAAATTAAAACAGCAAAACCAATCCCCCAACCTTCTAACAAATATCACAGTTGCATGCAGTAAACAAATCCATGTTATCTATTCAGAAGTACACCATTTATCAAGGACTAAGTGCCTTCTGCAAGAGGCACATGCTTGTGTTTTGCCTTATGATCAGTAGGGCATGTTGTAGTAGGACTAACATTTTGACATTTCAGACAAATGTGTTAAGTCAGATTTTAAAATTCACTATTGTCCAAGTGAATTTCAATGCTCAACCTTAAAAAATATTAAATGTGAATAAATTTACCTGTCATACTTAAGGCCATTTTCTTTCACCTACAGCTATTAAAGATAAATGTCTTTAAGCAGAAGTTCTTACACCTTCTTTAAATATAAAATAACAGAAAATCATGATCTAGGTAACTTTAAAATCAACAATTTGGAAATAGGAGGTAGGAAACACACTGTAGCTAACAGACTTCGATATGCAACCAAGAAAATAGGCAGTAAACAAGATTTTTAGACCTCTGAACAGTATTAAGTTTTCCACTTAAAAACTCCAGGGACTGACATATTCCCCAAAACTCTATTCGGGTACCCTTAGAGAAATATTTTTGTACCTGTGGCTACCAAAAAAAAGGCAGAAAATACAAGTAAAGTATCTGGCAAACATTAGCATTACATGGAGTTTGTATCATTAATAACTTCAAGAAATATATACAACTGTTCTATGGAAAATAAAACACAGTTTTCCCAAAGACTAAAGATCATGGACTAAAGCTAAAGATGTTAAGTCATTATTCAGCCATGGTCTACTCAGAAAAATATGAGTAACTGTTTCCAAACACACTTATTTAAGAAAGCTCATTTAACATCCCAACAGAAACAACGTAACAGAGAAGCTAAACATAATTTAGTTGTACAGTATGTTAATAGCACACAAATTCAATATTAAGACTGAGGTTTGGATATAGCAGCATTGCTCCTGTACACACTACAGTATCTCCCATTTCTTCAGCACAGCAAGAATTACTCTTGTAACTTTATGCTATACAAAAGCATTAGACATTCACAAACATATTTCTGAGTGCTACATATTCCTGAGGAATATACTTCCTCAGCATTTAACAAGTATGAGGCAATGCTCAAGAGAATATCAAGTGTTGTGCAGCTAAAGAAGGAAAGAAAATTAATACCACTAAGGAAAAATAATATTTCAGTGGCACCATTACTGTTTAAAAACTGCTATAGTAAACTCTGCAATTGTTTGGAAGGGTTACTGCGTCTGAGCTATCAGAGCTTGGCTACCTGCCACTGACCAAACTGCCATCAGATACTGAAGACAAAAAAAAAAAAAAAAAAAAAAAAATCAAAAATTGTTCACAACATGTATAAAACACTTTTTCTACATTCTGTTAAAATACTCCAAGAGAAACTAAAAATTAACTTTTTACCTTGATTAAAGATGTGATCACAATTGCTCCAGCATTCACCATAGGGTTATGAGGCCTGTCTGTGAAAAAAAGTTTCCAGTTACAAATATATTCCAAGACACATTTGTCATACAGTCAAGTGCTTAAAGGAAAAATTATTCTATATGCATGTATGACATAAAGCTATTATTACAGAATAGCCATTATATAATTCTAAAGTTTTAAAAAATACTGTAATCCAACACTATGCACTTTTTGTAATTCAGAGCAAAGTATTTTAGAGCTTAGAACACACTCAGCCTTATCTCTAGCGGAGAGAATGAGCCTTTTTTACGTAAATACGTCCAGTATTTAATAGTCCAGTAAATTCAGTTTGGCATCACTTCTTTCCTTGAAAATTATGAATCCTCAGTGGTGCAAGAATTGATCAATGCAACACTTGCAAGTGGAATAACCCCTATAGGGCTTTGCAATTTTTCCCACAAGTTACCACATCTCAATGATTTTAAAAGTGTCTAACAGGTCCTTTAAAAAACAAAAAAAGAAGGGGCACAAAATCCCGTTCCTGAATTTGCTTATTGCTGTAAATGAATACAAAATCCTGATTCTTTCTTAAGAATCAGAGGTTTCTGCTAGCAGATTCTGAAATGCAGATTCTAGAATTTACCTTGATTCATAGCTGATTTGCATACACCTGCTACATTCAAGTTTTCCTTTTTATCACTGATCTCTATATTAACAGTACTTTTGCATTCCCAACTCATTCTGGCTGCTCATGTGAATAAATCACCTTTTTAATCTTCTTTTTCCAGAACAGCTTTCCTTCTTAGATTTCTTACTTTTCCCGAATTCATCATCTACCTCTTACAGTTACCTTTTTCTTAATTAACTAACATTTTTGCTATGCCTTTTACCTAAGACATTGGCTTTTGAGGGTTCTGATGTCTGAAAACCTCAACCAATTCCCACTACATTAATATCATGACAAGTTTGAATTCTTTTTTTGCTGTTAATTTTCCTCCAAATTTGGCTAATTTAAAAACCACACAAAAAGTGTCCAATATTTTTACCTATGATATACAGGCATGTACACTAAAAGGAACTTGAGATGACTGGATTTTTTGTAGATTAGTCTGAAATACACAGCACACACACACTTTCCTATGAAAATTCCACTGGTCATGGTCAATGGCACTTAGCCATCTATGACTATCAGATAATCTTCAAAAACTAATCACCAAATTCCTTTCAGTATTTTTCAGAAAGTCAATATTAAAAGGAACTTCTAAATAAACCAAGTTATTCTGTTAGTGGAAAAATAAGACCTTCTGTCCAAAACAGTGAAGCTCTCCTAAAATACAAACTTACTGTCTAGATACTATTTTTAAAGTTGTTAGTGCCATTTCTTATCTCCCAGAAACAGACTCATTAATTGTTCTGATTTCACTTGATTGTACTTAAGATCCACCTATATCAAACATCCTGTTGTGCTCTACTAATGCAAACAACCAGGGCCAAATATATCTGACTTTCGATTAAAACCAGATTCTGAGTGAGGAAAAATGTAGCACTTCCATAGCTCCTTAGGGACCAAAAACCAGAACACTACCAGAAGATATTACGAGTCAAATGACCAATCACAGTACCACAGACTGCTGGTCTGAAGGGACATCTGAGGTCATCTCCTCCACCCTCCCACTCAACGCAAGGCTATTGCGAAGGCTACACCAGGTCAGTCATACCTTTATCTCAGTCTTGAAAACCTCCAACTGTGGCAAATCCTCTACCTCTCCAACAATCCTGTTCATCCTAGAGGACAAGTTTATGCTCACATCCAATCTGCATCTCCCAAGCCTCAGTCTGGGGCCACTGGCCCTTGTTATTTCATCTGCCACCAACAAGAAGAGTTACAGAACTCATCTTTGCAACTGCTCTTCAAGAGTTTTAAGAAGCTTCCAGGGGAGCCCCTAAGCTCCCCTTCCAACTGCTTCTGTGTGCTTCCAATGTGCTCTGGACAGCACAGGACTCTGGCATCACTCCACTGGCCTCACCAGTTTCTCAGTGTTCTCCTTGAACAGGGGATCCCAACTCTGGACACACAGACACAACACTGGTCTCACACACGATCAGAACACACTGTCACCTTCACTTCTTGCTCTAGCTATGTTTCTCTTTTTTCCAGTCCATAAACACACTATCATACACAGCTCATCCTAAAAGTATTTTTAGAAATATTTTGCTCCTGATTTTTCTGCACATCTCTATAGTTTCAATCTTCCACACTGTGTAAAAAAAAAAAATCAAAACCAAAACAAACAACCAAAATCCACATCACATGTATATTTGAATAAATATTTGGCATTTAGCAACTCAAAAGCTTATCAATGCTATATGTCCACACTGACAATACACTCTCAGAAATTTCTACTGCATCTCATTTCTTTGAGGATGTCACCACTTACCTTCAATGCCACAAGGCATGCTTGGTTACATTCTCCTCTACTCTGAAGATTCCTGTCTTTGACTGCTTAATGTATCTGGCTAAATGTACTTGTTCTGGCCACTTGACAATTAACATCTCCCACACATGAAGAAGGGCAAGAACCTTTTGATAAAAAAACCCCCATGGACGTTTCCGAACCTGCTTGCGAAACAAAGCTGAGTGTTGTTCCCCTCTTGATGAGTCAACGAAAACATCATTGTGGGAGCCTTAACAGCTAAGAGGAGGTCCAGTAGTCTGGCACACCACACTCTAACAAAAGCTGTCCTTCAAGAGTCTTTCCTACTGCTGCCCAACACCAGCATAGCACAGAGCTGTGTAGGACACCTTCCACTGACCCACTGCTGCCTCTTCTAAGCAGAATAAACCCTGTCAGAGTCTCCAGGTCCCAGGAAAGCAGTTTTCACTATTATCTGCACAGCATCAGATAATATGAGCCAAATACTTTCCATACATGGATTTCTGTAATTGACAGAAAACCTCCTGTCTTGCCAAAACAGCTGCAGGCTTCCTAGAGAGGTGGTCGATGCCCCAAGCCTGTCAGTGTTTAAGAGGCACTTGGACAATACCCTTAATAGAAGACTGTGGTAGGTGCCTTCCAACTGAAATACTCTATTCCACAATGAAGAACCTTTCCACCGACTAAAGATATACTGGCCTTTTTAAGGTCAAGGATGCCTAAATAAAATCTGACAATCTGAAAGATTCCTGGTAATTTCAAAGAAGAGATGTCTTCCACTCCCATCAACAACACTTCAATTCCCAGCTCATTTTTCACCTCTTAGGGATGTATAGGTTCTGACACTACATTAGTTTTTAAGCAAAGTCATACACAGATCTATTTTTAAAGCTGCAGCCACTACTGATTTGCCTGATAGTGGGTGCCATCAGCAAGGGGATTACAACAAAGCATGAAGACTGATACTATAACTGCAAGTTTGCCAAAGAGGTAAACAAATTCATCCCTTAATCTTTAGAAAGCTGCAGAACTAACTGACACATACTAAAATCAAACACCCACACACACCTTCTCTATATATATATTACTGAATAATAAAGGCAAAGATTTGCTCAGACTGAAAAAATAAATATTTTACACAGCTTCTCTGCAAGTCACTTATATTGCTGTATCATCTCAGTATACCTCAGAGTAAACTCTGTTTTTTATCCTTAATGAAAAGCACAAGTCATAATAACCCTTTGCCTTTTGCTGGGGTGCTCTAATTCAGCCTAGCACTGATTCAACATGCACCTTTGTTTAGGTGCATAAACAATGCACCTAACAACTCCAAATAGTAAATATATTCTTTACCATCACAACACAGTTTTTCCTGTGGGAAGAAAACACTCGTCTAGAACAGACTTTTACATAGAGAACAGCAATATATTTAACAGGCATATCTAAACTCAGTAAAGAATAAAATATAATCTATTTAGTTACCTAGAAAAATCTCTCCACTGGACATCACTACAGAATGGTGAAAAATATGTATTTATTTAATATCTCAAAACTGCCTGACAATTAGCACAATTGCTCTGGCAACCTGCCATGCAATTATGGCATATGCAAAGTAAACTTTTTCCCTAATAAGCTCAAATTACAACTCTTTTCCTCTGCCAGTTCTTCTGACCTTTTTGGTTCATCACTGGCCTTAGGCCTTTGCTGCACGACTGGTTTGCAGACAGCACAGCAAGCAGAGGCTGCCACACACACACCATATGGCATTTTAATACACAGAACAGCTCACTGTGCAAGCTCTTTCAGAAATGACATCAGAATGTGTTTGCCTGATAAAAAAAAACTTGCAGAAAGAATTCCATCTTTGGTTAAGAATATCCTTTAGTCAAATAAACAATTTCCTGTCATTCTCTCATTCAATTACAATACAGCTTTTATTACTGCACCAAGTTGCATAAATGATTATATTACTGGGCTAATTCTATAAATAATACTCAAGAGAATGTATGTGTGGATAAGGGACACTAACTGTTCATATATACAGGTATTGTCAGACATGTTGCATCGTGAACAATACAGGCATGAAAAAAACTGTAAACTGCTTAAGGACCACAAGCAGGAAAATTATTCCTGATAATGCCTGTTTCAGACACATTCTACCTAAAATTTCTGATCTACTTCAATCCACTAGAATAATCTTTTTAAAATGAACATGGGAATTGCTTTACTCTTCCAGAAAACTGAATTTGTTGGGTGAGCCACAGATTCCCTTCGATAAAAGTTTTAAAATTTAATACTGACAAGGTTGCAGAAGCTTCCAAATTTCCACCACACAGCACAGATCTTACTTAAAACGTAGTAGCAATTTTTCATTATAAGTTGGCATATTTAGCTATAATTTACAATTGTCTTATAGTCTTCATTCCTTCCTGCTTCAATCTCAATACTAGTAAACACTGAAATAAGTATAAAAAAAATAGCTTCAGGTGCACATCCAACCAGTTTTCAAAAACCTGTGTATCACTTCACACAATCTTGAGTACAAACATGAAGTTCAACTATATCTGAATGTTTAGAAAGCAAATAGATTAAATACCTACATATTTTTTCAATTTTCAAATCTGTTCTTCAAAGTATCTATATATGATCAAGCTGACAAATACTCTGCATATCTAAACCGCATATCAATTTAAATCAACAAGTGTAATTATTTCTTCCTTCCTCTTCTTTCACTTGCAGAAACTTTATAATTTATTATAAATTGTCCTATTTAACTACCTCCTGTTTTAGTCTTTCACTTAAGGACTGTATAAGAGGCCATTCAAGACAGTTCTAGCACTTTTTTCTCCTGTCTTTCAGCCACAATCACATACTTAAAAATTAAATTTTCTATCCTGTGAATTAGCCTTCTCTATTAATTTCATGCCCATTGGTCAAACTTTCAAATCCAAATCCTGATTTTTCTTATGCTTAACAGTCTTATAAACACTCCTAAATTATAACAGTCATGTAAAAGATCACAACCACCATCTCCCTCTATAGCTCAATTTTAAAAGTAGCAATAAAAAGAACATAATTATTATACTGTCATTCTATTAAAAAGAGAATAAACAGAACACCACCAGATAAATGGGCAATTTTCAGCACCATCAAAACTTCTTTTTATGTATTAAAGCTTTTGCACGATATGAAAGACAAGTCTTCTTCACACTGTTATGACACTGTATGTGTTAAAACTAGGAAAGCAAAAAAGTCAAAGCTTGACAAAATGCTTAATTCCCTCTTGGTAATATCTAGACATGTTGGTACTTCATCACCATTTACTAACACAATAAAAAATAATTGCCAAGATACATTTGATTTTTAAGTATGTAAATCTGATTTTAAGGGATAAACATATATACAAAAATTTGTATACATGTATTAACATTTTAAATAGAATTATGTATCAATACATTAATATAGATATTTAAGACAGAATTCACTACAGTCCTTGACAAAAATATCATCCAAACCCTATGCTGTTAGTTAAATATTAATTGCAATACCATGGCAACAGAAACGTTGTCTGTTCTCTTACTGAGACAGATCCGCTAGAAGAAACATTTGTTTCAGAGACAACATCCAGTATTTCCTCTAAGGCTACATGAGTCATCCTTCTCAGTTTTTTGCCATAATTTGTTTTAAAATAGCACTTTCATGCTTGAGAATTAATATAATATGAACAAGAAATAATCTAGATATGTACTGTATGAGAAATCCTTGCTAAAACACCCCTGCCACAGGAAAACAAATAAAATAAAAAACATTGTTTTGAACCAGTAGCTGAATTCTGCTTAGAATAATCTGTGGGAAGATGTGTTCAACTTCGCCTTCTGGAAACTAGTCAGTGCTGCCCTTTGGCAGCAGCACCTGCTTCTCAGAAGGCTGAGAAGTGATATACATCTTTCTAAAAACCAATTTAACACCTTTGATTCTTTTGCCACGTTTTACAGAAGGCATGACTAGGCAACACTTGCTACCAACAATAAATACAAATTTCAAATACCTGCATTATCAAAATTCTTTGGGTTTTCCTACAGCTCCGTAACTAGCAAACAAAAGCAATAAAGCATCTCCTATTAGCATTCCAATTAGGCAAAAGTGACTGACAACAACTGAGTCTACCTTGTTGATGGCAAAATATTTTGGGACACTGTCAAGTAGTAAGACAGTGAAATGGAAAGGCTGAAAAACCCCACAACTGTGTAGGTTGTTCTATAATTTTCTAAAATTAAGTTATTAACTATTATTAAGTACTGCATTATTAAGTATTACATCTCTTACCATCTTCATTCAGGAACAATTTGTTGAATCTTAATCCACTGGGCTCTTTACCGACATATCTGTGCACATACTCTGTGCCAAGATCATTAACAGCAATAGCATATTTCAAAGGCTTCACGCAGGACTGAAGACAAAATGGAACTTTGGTATCTCCAACAGAATGCCTGGAAAAACATAGATGAAGAGGTTTGAAATCTGTTTGTTGGCTGTGGCAAGTGGAGCCTTAAATGCTTCATCTATTCTTCAGCATACTAGGACTGTGAACAGTAACACCCCCAAAAACAAAAGCATATTAATACTCTCATTCTAAAGAACCTAACAAGAAGATTTAAAGGTTTTAGCAACAGCCTCCACCAGCCAAGCATAACAAAGTCAGTTCCTGATGACTACTGCAGATGTAACAAAATAAAAGCAAGTTCAGAAATGGGTTTGTACCAGAGGGGAGAAAAAAAAAAAAAAAAGAAAAAAAATCACCTCAGACCTCTAGTATCACATGCAAACCACATACTCAGCAGGGTAGAGCTGACCCAAATACAGCCATTTATGTCTATATCAACAAAGACATGACACAATTTGGTCTTGGAATTTTAGGACAAAAATCAGATGTATTTACATTCCCTTTCATAACGGCAGAGGTATTTTAGAACAACTATTAAATGCTCTCTTTTGCAAAGTTCACTTTCTGCATCTATGTCAGACTGCATCAAAGAATGACTCATGCAAGTAGCATATGCCACATCTAGAGCAAAAGGCTTGAAGCAATCACTTGTCTGATGGCAAAACCAGAAGTGTATTTGCTTCTTTGCAGAAAACACAAGCAGGTTTCAGAGAAACTCATGAAACCATTTCGCTATTATAAAAGCTAACGTTACACAACTTTAAACATTACAAAAATTAACATTACCAAAACTTTCATTAGTACACGATGCAATAACCAAAACAAAGCAAAATGCCAATATAAAATATTCAAAAGGGAGATTTTTTCCAAGTTGTTTTACTATGAATAGAATATAATTCAGATACTTGAGCAGGGAGAAGAAAAAAAAACCACTTCAGCTCACTTTTGCAGCTGCTGCCCTAGAGATTACAGACCCTATAGCTAATGAGAAACAAACACAGATCGCAACAGATGACATTAAAATGAATTCCAATCCACAGGCACCATAAGCAAGTGTGAGGCTCTCTCA